TGCAGCGAAAATATCCCTTATACCATACAGCGATAGTGTACTAACATTCCACAAAATACCTCAACCATTCCAAACTCACTCCTCAACTTCATATTCAAGCTTTCTACTACAATCCTAAACCAAAACAACTCACATATTCCACACAAAAGACTTATATCTAAAGTAAAATCCTCATGCAACCTAACCCCTAACTAGGTTAATATGCAAGCACTAAAACTTAAGGAAATCACCAAAACTTTGACCTTTCATCAAGAACGCTCAAAGCTCTAATGCTCAACACATACCCTCTTGGATTCAATCACTACAACTATGGCTTTCGGAAACTCCACCAATCGAAAACTCTTAATACACTCGACAAATGAATGTCTTACCCACATCCAAGGTTCTAACAGTTCTAGTTGGCTAGCACAAGGCTTCGTCCACTACTACTGGCACATATGCTCGCAACACGAGCAATACCACTCAACAACTACTTCTTACGTAAGCAAGAAGTATCAAAACAAATAAGCAATCATGACTAGCATCAACTAAGCTATATCATGTCTTTTAGCCAAACTATGAGAAAACAATATAAGTGCAAGCACAACACTAACAACGCAAGTGAAACATCATCATCATTATCATTATCTTCACCATAAAGCAAAACATTATTAGAGTACACACAATTAAATAAACAACAAACATAGTCGTTCATCATTAGCACATCAATAAGTTCCACAATTCATTTCATCATTCATCTACCAAATAAGCATAGTAGACTCATAACTCACGGCCGATTAGATCGACCTGCTTTGATATCACTAAATGTGACAATCTTACTACCCCAACGCATATATAAATATTAATCATATAAATAAACTAAAGAATAAAATTTTTAACGTTGGTAAAAGGGTTCACATAAAACCTTCATATTCATTTATTAATAACCAACATAATAATTGAAAATAAAACTTGAAAATTTACAAATTGTTTTCAAAATCATATCTACACTAGATCTGGTTGATCTCCCTCGCTGGGTTCCCCTCGGTCTGAAGCAGAAAGTAGAGGAAAGAAGAAAGAGAGCAGAAGAAAAGAAATCAGGAATGAGAGGTGTGCTTTTTGGGAGTGGCAAACAACTCTATTTATAGGCTTTTTACGCCGGAACGGCCCGTTCCAAATCCGGAACGGCCCGTTCCGGACTCTTAAACCATGGCTAAAAATCACATCCAAAACGGCCCGTTCCAAAACCAGAATGGCCCGTTCTGGTGTGCATTAATTACTCGCAACGGCCATAATTTTAAGAACGCCCCGTTCCAAGCCTGTTCCCATTTAGGGTTAAAGGCAAAATTAATAGTCTGGAATGACGTTCCAACTTGAGAACGGCTCGTTCTAGGCTACTAATTCACACTTTCACTGGTAGTTTGGAACGGCCCGTTCCAATTCCGGAACAGCCCGTTCCAAGCTACTAAATCACCCCTATCACCTTTATAAAATTACCAAAATACCCTCAATTAAAATAAAATAAAATTGAAATAAGAAAAATGCGGTGTTACACAGTACATGTAGAAACATTATTTTTCCAAGAGTAACACATTTTGTTCATTTCTCAAGTGTTGATCATTGGTGCAGTTAGGAGAAATATAACATTGTCATCTTATGCATGTTTTTGATTTGGTCACATTAGATGCTTTTGAATTTGCGGCTTGATCTTGTGCATGATTTGTTCGGTTACCATTGCTTTGCCCATAGTTTCTTTATCAATTTGTTTTTTTTGTGAGCTCCTTTTGTCCTTTTTGTTGGCTATATATTAATTAAGAAAATGTCTTTTATATATCGATATAAATGCGTTAAATTTTATTAAATTACTACTGTGATACTATACAATTTGAGGAACTTTTATGTAAAGCGTTGCAGAGAAGGAGAAGATTGGCACTAGTAAAAAAACACTTTTAAAATCGGTCATTTTTTACTTTTAAAATAGACTCAATTTAAATGAATATTTCATAGAATTTTTTTATATTTTGAATCTTCACTGTACAAGCTATCTTTTTTCATTTGCTCTTCTTTCTTCCTATTTATCAATTTTCATTTTTAACATGATATCAAGAATTTCATTGATCTTTAAGGGCTTGTGAGGAAGAGAGAAAAAAAATCTAAAGAACAGAGTTTGCACGTGAGAGAAAATCAGCAAAAAAAATCCACTCAAAAAATTTTAACCAATGACTTTTAATAATAGTTCCTTACTTCCACCTCCTCTAACACCTCAATTTTCATAAATAAAAAATTAAGAATATTTTAATAATTATTTTAATATTTAAATGTAATTATTGGAAGAATTTTAATAATTTTAACTATTTTATGTGAGTTCTATTTTGATATAAGACATGCTATTATGATAAGTATTTCAATTGTTTGATATAAGATAGATTCTTATGGAAATATATTTTATTTAAGGTTAAGAATATGTTATTTTAATTAAAAGGAGGAAGTATATTTTGATTATTTTAATTATTTTATAAAAGGGTGAAAGGGAGGTCGTAATAGTAATTTTGTTATTATTTTTTTTAAGTAAAAATGACTTTAGAGTTATGTTTTACGCTTCTCACTTCTGCCTTATGTTTCCTCTTACGTACGCTTCGTGATCTGAAGACTCGGGAGAACAAAGAGGGGAAGGTCATCAAGAGATTGCTCACCCTTCGCCTTCGATTAATCAAGATAAGGGGGAGGAAGAAACCTCGCTTAGGGTGCAGGAATAAATGTTGAGTAGCAAGATTAGCCCTCAATCGGCACGAGCATGTGGGTGACACAGAGTTGGATGTGTGATGCATCGGCTCGAGCGTGTGCATGACATGGTGTTGGACATGTGATGCATTGACACGGGTGTGTGTTAAGTCAGATGAAGCAATTCCTAGCAAGGTTTTAAATGAAACAAATATAATACATGTTGTTATTACTAACAAGTGAGTTAGTGTTTCAGAAAAACATAAGTACAGGCAAGTTGAAGAATAGAGCATGTGCCACTTCCTACACCATAACCAAGATAAAGGGTAAAAGCTTTAAGTGCCAGACGAATACTAATCAAAGCAAAGCACAACACGAGGATTAGACAAAGCAAGTCAAATGATAGGTGGAATATGAAATGTGTGCCAGACAATGATAAATCAAATATGAGACGAAGGTGTGTCAAGGACAACCTAGAGCGCAACATAAGAACTCAAATGAAGGTTGGTCAAAGATCAGAAGAAAGTCAACTAAATATTAGACGAAGGACAACACATATTGAAAAGTATTCTAGACAAAAATAAAGTCTGTCCATCTACAGTGTTGACCAGACCAAAGAAAGTCAAAGCATTAATGAAAAATGCTTAGACAAAGATCAAGACTTGAGATGCACATGGACTATCAAACGCAGACGAAGACTGCCAAGCAAGCATTTGAAAAATCAAGTCTCAAGGGACAATTTAGGAATCGTCTACAATCATACAAAAGCTCTCAACATGATCGCGCGATGAAAGGAAGAAAAGAAAAAGAAGAAATACAAGTGCAAAAGTAAAAGCATGCCTGTGTCAGAAAAAAGTACATCATTTTAGATAAAGACAACGCCTCTACAACTACGCGACCGAAAAAGGACAAAAAGATCCTAGGTTTCAGCTAAAGTCAGACACTGTTGCTAACAAATGTAGAAGACTTCACGCAATATCTATAAATAGGAAGAAACATTTAATGCAAGATCTAATGCATTAAATGAAAGATCAAACTAGTCATGAAAGACTACATCCTGCTTCAACGGACACTTGTAACGGACAAATTTTACAAGACTATATATATGTCATAACTTCAAACCTAGAAAGGTTGGCAAAGAGTGATATCAATTTCATGAAGCAATGAAACCAGAGACAGAGCTTATAGAGTCAAATGTACCATAGTGTATTTATCTCTATAGACTAAGGAGTTCTAAGTGTAACTTAGGAACATGCACCTTACACTACAAGAAAAACTGTTAATATCTATGGAATATTACCTACGAAATTTTTTTCGTAGGTAATTTTTAGTTATCTACGGAATATTACCTACGGAATTTTTTTCGTAGGTAATTTTTAGTTATCTTCAGAGTATTACCTACGGAATTTTTTCCGTAGGTAAAGTTTAGTTATCTAAGGAAAAAATTACGTAGGTAACTAAACAGAAGAAACGCGGCGTTTAAACTGCATTGAGTTAGGGGTTGCTGAAGACATTGAGGTTTTGTATTATTTAGAATTAGGGTTGTGATTTTCCGCTCTGACGAAACGGACTGGTCCAGGAGCGACGATTCTTGGAGGAGCAACGACACAGTGAGAACCCTTTGCCCAGATTCGTGCGATTCATCACAAAACCCTTAGCCATTCGATCACTGCAGTGGACGACGCTATACCGGGGTTGCGATTTGCCTGCTCCGACGAGACGCACTGGTCTAGGAGCGAAGGTCCTTTAAATCTCCAAGAGCGACGATTTAGTGGTATGTTCCTCTTTCATATTTCTACCTTTAAATTTTCAGACCACAACTTTCTCAATGAAGTGAATAAGTTAATATTAGTGAATTTAACAAATAAAAAAATAAGAAACTAATAGAAGTCCTTTGCAGGAGGGTGATAAATTACATTATAAATCTGAAAAGCCTTTCCAACGCTGACAGTAACGAAAGTTTCAGTGCCGAGTCTCTGAACAGAGAAAGGGACGCTGCTTGTGATGCATCCGATTGCTCTGTAAGGTTCAAATACGCCCATAATTCTTATTCTTCTGTTTGGTTTCTATGGTATGAAGAAGAAGATGGTTTTAACCCAACACTGCCTACTCTGCCTGTGCTTAGGGTTTTGGAGTTAGTGTTTTATGTTGCGCAGTTGAAATGAAAACTAACACGCACTATTCCCTCCCTCTCTTTTAATCATTGATTTTTCTTCAATGATGCGCTTTAATTAATTTTAAAATAAAATAGCTAATTTTAATTTTTAATAGAGGTGGATTATATAGATATTCAATTCCAGGGGGAGCAAAAACTTTCCGAGTATCAAACGCCTCTTAAGTGTTTTCTTTTAATTTTTTAATCTTTATTCATTTTTTTACTATGTGATATTTTTGCATTCTCAGTATAACATAAATTTAACATTCTGCAGCTTGACAGGCTCTAGTAAAGTTGTGGTTTGTAACATTCATGTGCTATACAATCCTAACAGGGGAGAAATTAAGCTTGGCCAGGTGTGCACTGCCTGTTTCGCATAACATTTTCCCATTTTGATAAGCCATTTATGCCTCTGATACTGTTCTGTTTTGGATATATCACTGTCTAATGTTATGAAAATGCTCTTCACTTTGATGGCTATTGACACTTCTTTCTGCATTTCAAATGTACTTTGATTTTGTTCCTGTTTTGGTTTTCTTTTCATCCATTTACTCTTTCCGTGAAATGCATACAATGGTCTTAATTTTTTCTATTCATAATGTGTAGACTCGCAGAATTTGTAATTTGGAATTCTTCACATGCTAAGGTCTATGATATATGGTGTAATTTCTAGTTAATTTTTTCTTTTTTTAATATCATCTGTAGTATTATGTTTTCATCACATAGTCTAGTCATTCATTTTGAAACGTTGTTTTGTAGTTTAGATCTAGTAAGACTATAAAAGGTTTGATATATTCTTATGTTTAGGCATATTGTGTACAACCTACAGAGCCATTGATGTTTTTTTCTCTTCAATATCGTCATATTGTCCCACAATAATTGCCAATTCAGTTCAGGAACTAATGACCCTTAAATGTATGCAATTTGTCTGAGTATGAATATGCATAACTAGTTGTATCTAGACACAGGGGCTGAGGAATTTTTTTTATATCTCTAAACAGATTCATCACCAATATTTGGTATTCTTGAACACAAACATGAACCCTGTGATTGAGCAACTTTATGGTTATAATTTAATCCCTTTTATGGTTACTTGATCACTTATATTTGTAAAATGTGATGACAAGAGTTTTTCCACAAAGTGATTTATAATTTGGGTTCGTGATGGTGGACATTGAATTGTATATTCTAATCATCAAACACTTGTTACATTGTGTAAAAATAAAAATAATTAAAAATATTTATTGATTAGATAGAGGGTGAAGTGGCTGCAAAGACTAAAACTCCCTGTAAGCCATTTTCCAGCAGGTGACTGATTGCAGATTGAAAGGCCTTTGTATTTCACATGTATTTAATTGTCATTTTCTTTTTTCTTTTTTATTTGCACGTCTCTGAATGCTAAGTAGGTTTTTTATATCAAAACTTGACATGCAGCCACATATATAATTAAATAAGCATATCATTTCTGTTTTATCATTTTCTTCTATCTCTGGTCCAGTATTATTTTACTCACTGCAGTTTGTATGGTGACATTTGCAGATAATTCCTTTCTTAATATTGAGCTATCTTATCATTGCTGAAGCTCATTACTGAAGCTCATTGGGTGAGAGAGCCATCTGCTCTTCAACCTATGACAGGTAAAATCTTTGCCTTCCCCAACCCTACTAAAACAGAAATTAAATGAACAGGAAATTATGCATCTGTTCCTATTATTTATTTTTACTTTTAGATGTAATGTGTTGATGAAGTTTTATTTGTGATTGCTATATTTCATTATCATTCTGAGTCTCCAAAGTAAAGCATAATAGTATTAGCTAATTGATCATAGGAACAATGCATTTTCATTTGTTATATCCTCATTCATTTTGATCATTATATTTAAATGTTGAGTGATAAAGTTGAATTTTATTTTAGGAACTACATTTAGTCTAGCTGTGTACGTGGCAGTTATTGTTTAGTTTCATTGGAGTGTAGTTATTGTTTGGTGGCCCAAGGCTGTTCCACATTGTCACTAGTGTAGTATTGACTACTAATTTGCTATGAGGTCAAGAGAGATTAACAGTTAATTTCACTATTTTGCATGCGGTTCCTTGGTTTGTCCCTACCATATGCTTTGGAAACGATTCAAACCTGAGTCTTGAATGAGAAAAGTAGGTACCTTTAGTACTTTGTTAAAACATTTGGTTAGAGTCTTTCTAAGTTTAATATTTTTGAAACTTGGAAAAGGCATAAAGAGATGAAATATTATTTGTTATTCTGATTGGCTGGCACATGATGTCATGATAAAAAATAAACACGTAGTGAAACTGTGAAAGAGTTCACGAGCATCCTTATACAATTGCTCCTCTTCAAAAATAAATATAAGTGTTATTTTAATCACATTTTTTAGTTAAATCTGCTAATTATTTGATTGCATTAGTGGCTACTGGCTAGGATTTGAGCAGTCTTCCATTATTTCCCTTGTTCTAATGAAAACCTCTTTCACATTCTATATTATAAAATTATCAGTTTTCCATACTTCAAGCTTAATACATGTGCATGGGTCTATCCATTAAATCTGGTTGTGATTGGTTGGCTGCTTTAGCAGGTTTAAGATCTAAACCAAACAGGGCATTGAATTGGGTGATGCGTTAGCTGATTGGTCCAATTTGGTTTTCAAAATCTGGATTTTCCCAAAAGAATAGATTCCTTTCCCTGCACAGCAAAACTTAATGAATACAAAAGCCACTAGAGTCCTAAGGTCCCTAGTTCAAAAGTAATGTGATGGTGAAAATCCGCATATAAAAAATAAATAGAAACAATTGCTAGTACAAACACATAAAATTAACTTAAATAAGATATTTCATCATCCAATTCTGTCATTATCGGTATATTTTATCCTAAACCACTAGGCCATTCTTTTTCCTATTCTATTGGATAAAAAGGAATTTCATTACAACTATAAATGCACCAAATTAGCGGATCAAACTGAGAAGCATTGGCCTTCAAGTTTCATTAATGTCAAAATTAAGGTTTAAACTACTTGAACTCAGAGAGAAAGAAGACCGAGGTTTCCACAAAGAACCTAAAATCTCCATAGTTGAAGATCTAATAAAGCTTGCTAAGAGGTATTACTCATCAATCTCTTGTTCCATCTTTCTCTTCTTTTATTTCAAATATTGCTATAATAAACGCAATCATGTAGACATATTAGAGTTCATCGTATAATTTAAATTTTATGTATAAAGGGGAATAAATATTTAAATTATTAATTCTTATTACGTTATCTTCATGATAGGGTACCAATTAAAGGCGTTGTAGGGGTTCTTAATACCTTCCCTACACGTAACC